AAACTTTTTTCCAGTTTGTCTGTCAGCTCCAGTCTGTGTCTACAGACTGGGAGAGCTGGTCTGCTGACAGACGAGAGGACTGATGGGAAAGTCAAACAACATTACTTTCAGGGCATTTGTTCACCTGTATGGTGGACTGGGCACTCTTCACCTTCAAGTCCCTCTGTTTCTCTCTCTTTCTTTCTTTTTTACTGCATGCAGTTTGCTTTTCAAATACTTTTTTTCCTGCTCATGTGAGGAAGGGGGGAGGGGTGCATTGTAAAGGTCAAAGGCCACTTTCATTAATCTAGAATGCCGGCCGACCCCATCTCCAACTGTTATCAACGCTAATTTGGCCGGCGGTAACACTAATGAGGGCAACCTCAGGTGACCCTGCCATGGAAAATGATGGAGAGTCATAGCACAGGTCGCTCTCAGCTGAGTGGGTGTATGAGTGTGTGTGTGTTTGTGTGTCTCAGTCAGGTTTTTTGTAACTACAGAAACACAACCTGAATGTCAGCACAAGTGCAATTAGTGACGGTGAGATCAGTTTGGAACCAGAGGCCTCATTTATAAAGGGGACCTTTTATACATTTTGATCTTAAGTATGACTTATGCAGACCATTTAAAACCTTAGTTTGATGAGGATATTATCTTTAAGCTGATTTTCCTGCTGGTTTTTGAGAGTTATTGCAGTTTGGGACCCATGTGGTGAAATTTGCATTATCTTTATGAACAATTTAAGGTGTGAGGACTTAATTGCCACACAGAAGGTGGTTTTGAATTAAAACCAGGATAAATAGTGTGTCAGATTTCAAAAGCTGTAACCATACTGACTAGACACTCATTTGTGCTAGCATTAAGGCTAAATCACTGGTTATAAGGCAGGTGGTTCATCTGACATCTGACTCTTACAGATCACAGGTGTGTAAATTACAACAAAACTGTTAGAGTTCAAATGTCAGCCTGTGTTTGTCTTCCTAGCTTGTGGCTTCTTTTTAATTGGTGATAGTGCATAATTAATTCAAGGGACAACTGCATCTTAAGTCTACAGATATCTACTGCACTGCTGCCTGTCTTGGCCAGGACTCTCTTGTAAAAGAGACTTCTCCTGGTTAAATAAAGGTTAAATAAAAAAAAATAAAAATAAAAATAAAGAAAACTAATGGGGTGTTAATGGGGAAAAAACCCCAATTTATCATATAGAATAAAATACAGAACCAGTCACTTTTTGACAGTTTTGTTGTTTTGTTTTGATTCTTATGTAAGCTGATCACAATTTTAATTCAAAGAGTATGTTTTAGGGCCTGTTTGCTTGATTGACAGGTGTGTCAGCCAGTCATACCCAGCCATGGCGTTGGCTGCTTCATTTTCCTATTTCAGATCCACCCTAGAATATTATATTTATCTTTGTCCGTTATGGTAGCATGTTAGTATCATCTGTCTGTTCCAGTGCTAAAGCGATTAGTCAAGTTAGTTTAAGCAATTACTTTATGGTTTATTATAATTTAATTTAATATAATTTGTCAAGAAAAAAATGCAAAAATTCTGTGGTTTCAGCTTTTCAAATGTGCAGATTTGCAACTTTTCTTCTTTATCGACACAATAAATCAAGTGTAAAACATGACAGAGACATCCTACTTACACTGCACTCCTCCTGCTTTACATAAGATCTGATTACACAGCGGAGAATCCTGCTGCATACATTTGCAAATTAATGAGGAAAGTGGCAGGACAATGAGGACAAGACCTTTAAGCTGTGTTTTGTACACGTTGTTCTTCACGTCTGGGCTGAGTAAATTCTCATCTTGCACAAGACATACTCCGGATGACTTTAGCCCTTCCTGATAGACAGGTAGCTAAAGCAGTTGTTGAATGTGTGTAAAGAGTTAAAAGTGAGTGTGTGTGAGCCAGCTCCTGTATGAGAAACCGGTGGGAACGCTGCCAGTTTCAGTCCTCCTCCAGGGCAAAAACTCTGGAATGTGTTTGAGGAGCGCCATTGAGATTTTTCTAATCACTTTCATTGTTTGGCTCTGATGATTCTGATCCACCAGGCTCACAAGGTAGTTTTTTTTAATACCACCTACTCTTTGAATAGATTTATCTGCCTGTTAGATTCTAGGCTATAAATAACGTGGGTTTTGTTAGGCGTCACACCTAACTCCCCCAACACACTTTTTCCCTTTCACAAATGATATTCCATCATTCTGCCAACACCGCAATCTCTCTTGTTTTCCTCTTATACACACACACACAAATGCAGAGATTGTGAGCTGCTGACAGTTTCCAGTTGCCACCTGACAGCTTTGAACATGCAGGCCAACACTGCAGAGTGATGCCGCAGAGTGATTAGAGAGTTGTGTCGTCCCTGCAGTTTTTAGTGTTTGCTGTCTCATGAGCTCAGCTTTGCATGACTCCACAGTGGCAGTTATTATAGTGTCTCCAAGAAACACAATATAAACAGAGCAAAGCCTAACAGAAACTGATGAAAATATGTGCAAAAATATGTGTGAAAAGTGTTCAGATTAAAATGTATAACATTGTATCAAGATGCAAATACCACAAATACAGTTAATATAAGAGTTTCACAGTAGTGTGGGTGACACGTTTTGTCTAGTCTTTGCATTTGACACTAGCTAGTAGCAGGTACATGGTGTTAGTCAGAGATGAGGAAAAAGAGTTGTTTGTTTCACATTCACTGATGACCGGCACATCACTCATGTCCCGTCTGTCTAGGTGGCAATGATGACTGAGATGTGTCTAAGCCTGTCTCACTCAGGTCTCACCAGCTAACATTCCTCTGTGTCACTTTTTATCAAAGTGTTTGTGTTAAATATCAGCATTAAAGTCTCTGTCTCTGTCATTTGTGTCTCAGTCTTGGATTTCTGCGTGGGGTCCTTCCGGTGAGGCCTCATCAGGTCGTCCGGCTCGTGCCCGGCGGCAGCTGCACTTCAGGAACGAGTGGGCGACGTGGAACGGCTGGTCTTTGTGCTCACGTAGCTGTGGGAGCGGAGCCTCAGTGAGGACACGCACCTGCATCACCAGGTAAATGACAGCCAGTCCAACTGAAAGTCTTAATAATCATCTTTATATCTTTAAATGATTTTTGGGTAGTTCATACAGTTGAAACAGATAAGTAAGTTTTAAGAGTCATAATATTTTACAAATATATTGGGCAAATTTACCTAAATATGGGAATTTTAAGATCAACTAAAAGGTTATATATGCGAAATTCACTTGCAGTAGAGCAGTGTTTTCTCAAAACAGAAACAAAATAAGATTCTGTTAGACTTTCCACAGTCTTTCCAACAATCTCCTGCACTGTTTTGGTACTTTTAATTTTCACTGAGTCACTGCGAAACGGGCTGCTGTGGCTGCCATGAACAAATCCTTCGGGACAAATGTGCGCGTCAAAGTACGTCCACTAAATGTTGCTGTTTCTGGCACTGACAGACGCTGAGTCTAAGTGTCTGACATCATTATGAAAATGATCCCTACAGAGATAGACCTTTTTTTTAACCAGAAACAGCAACAAGATTGCTATCACTTGCCACCAGGCTCTGCAGACAAAAGCACTACATTTATCTTGTATATCATCATAACATTGTATCTTCATTCAGAGACGACAGACACAAAATAAAACTCACCAAAACCCTCTTTAATATTCTTTCCACTGTGAATTGGTCTGAATTTGATTCACTGACATAGATGATAAGAATAGTAGTTTCAGTCGCTCTCCTCAGTTAAACACAGAGGCACTAACATGCATGCACAGTCAGACTGGATTTGGAAACAAACCACAGAGAGGCTGTGATATCAACACAGTGTGTGACGTCATTCTCTGCTCGTTAATGTTTTAAATCTCATATATATAACCTTTGTGTCTCGAGCCTCAAAGGTTTAGGTTTCTAAAAAACTATTGTCACCCAGATTTTATGTCTCCATGCACCCAGAAGTTGTGTTTCCTTTATCAAGACACCGATTTCATCAGTTTACAGTGAACCAGACCCTCTTGCAATATTAACCGAAACTTTACATTCATTAATTTAGTCCCTAGTGACAAATAAAAGAGCATACAGCTACAGAGCAGTGAAGCTGCAACAATATTTTTTAAAATCAAATGTTCACCTACCTATTTTTAAATAATCTAAACAAATACTGACAAAGTACCATTTTAATAAAAATAATGAGACCGGTAAACTGTATTTTAATTTTGCCAAATCTGAATGTGCTTTCTGTGTGAGATAAATTCTTGTTCAACCAGCCATTACAGCAGCCTGCACACTCACTACATAGGCTCTAGTTGATAATGAAAACTCTTTCCTGCTGTGTTTGCTGTACCTAGTCCCATAAATCTCTTTTCTCTCTGCCCCAGAAACCCAGTGGGTGGACCATGTGCTGGAGATCCCAGACAATACAAGATCTGCAACACCAAGGTAATTTAAGCATAAAGGCTTCACACTGTATGAAAAATATTTGACAGACTTTTGATGCAAACATTTTAGAACAATGGTTGATGTTTGCTCTAGAAGTTGGTCATATAGGTGTGGTCAGGGCAGGTGTAGCAGGCGAGGGCTTTCAGGGTGTGATCTGGAATTTCACTGACATATTAACCCATGTCTTCTCGACACTGCTTTCTGCTGAACTCAGACGTGTTACAGTCACGTATCAGACCTGCTATTGTGTTAGAAACGTGCTGTGAGGTCAGTGGCTGTGTGTCAGACATGTTGGGGTGTGTGTGGGTCTGTTTGGCAGCCAAATCACTGAAGCCTATGTTGATTAAAGGAAAAACACACAGATGGGTTGCAGCTTGTTTAAGCATGCTTGAATGTATGTGCATGTGGCAGTTTGTACAGTGTGATTAGCTCAGAGCTTTGAATGAATGGACACAAATCCCTGACTCGCAATTCGTGATAGGAACAAAAATGTGTTCACACTGTGACATATGGGGACTCACCACAAGGTTATTCATTTATTTTAAGGTTAAGATTAGAATTATGACAGGATTAAGGTTTGTTTAAGAGATGGGGTTAGGCATAAAAGTTGTTATAATGATGAAGACCTTAATCAGGTATACTATATACTATACTATATCTCACAGGTGGTTTATTCTATCATTAAAAATTTTCACCACTGTGTCTATCAATGTGTTCATAATTATTTTATATGACTGTTTTATGTTTCTGTTTTAATATGTGCTTTTTAAAAATACCAATGTATTTGGGTCCTGGGGGATCCCAGTCAAAAGCATCCAATTCTGCCTACGCAGTTTTAATAGATGGAACTATTTGAGTTCATGTTTGAGTTCATTTGTTCTAATTTAAAGTATCTTCTCACCTCCTCCTCCATATTTTTCTAAAATAATAATAATCTGTTCCGTACAGTTTTTTTGATAACAATTACATAAATAGTAATGTTTTGTGACAAAATCAGCACAATACATTAGTTTATTCTT